CATCTTTTTTTTTTTTTTTTTTTACTTCAGCCCTCATTTCTTGCAGCCTTTTCCACATGGTTCCAGGGAAGAAATGCAAATTGCTGTTGCCTTAGGAGAGCTTATAAGCAAATTGCAAGAGGCTGTTACAGGAAATGGGAGATTGGCTTTAAACCCATTTGCATGGAAGAGGATATGGAATACACATCTGCTACCTGAGCAAATGTGGCACCTTGCAAGAGGCAGTGTCAACTTGCTTTTAAGAATAAATGCAGTTTAACTTTGCATAAAGCCTAATCTTGTCAGTGAATGTTAGACTTGCTTAGAGCATGACCCCTTGGATGGGTTCTGTGCAGGACTTCACAGAGGTGTGTTTAGAAGCCTTGCTGGGCTTGGTGCACACGCTATGGTATACACAGTAGTGGAATTTTAGGACTTACACAAGCTAACAGGTACGTTGTACAGGTTACACCACTTGGGAAGCCCATTGCATGTGCAGAGTGAGATATAAGCCAATTAAATGTGTTGCATTTTGAGTGGGAGCTTGCACAGAAGGGTTGCTGTGGCTCAGATTGTGGACAGTAATTTATTTCCAGAGAGTTTCAGATTTGTTACTTCCACTTCTATTACTCCTCCCTCTTGGCAGAAACCTGCTTGCTTGGTTTGTTTTTAAAGTTGTGTCTTTTCAATGGGGCCAGTGTTGGAGGTACAGCTTATTCCTGTTTGTGTGTGCATTTAAAAAAAAAAGTGTCATATATATGCAATTGCTTTTAGTTCAGGCCCTTAGGAGTAGCTGAGGGGTAAGTTGTAAGCTGGGTTTGCTGTACAGAAGTTGATGATCAGGTGTTGTGTTCTTTAGTGCTCTTTTCTGCTTGTGCTTGGCTAAGCTGTGTCTTTGCATGGGGCTTTTGGCAAAATGGTGCAAGGATACAACTCATGTTGGGCTACCTCATTTCTGTTGTATTTCTAAGAGCAGCTGAACAAATACATTGACCACAAAGTAGTTGTACCCCTGTTCCCCACCCTTTTGTGAAAATTGCAGCTGGGACTATGACTAGGGTGTATAACTTGAGAGAATATATACAGAATGACATTTGTTGTGAACAGGAAAGAAGTGGATCAAAGGTGCATGGTCATGGTTTGTTGTTTGTAGATGGTGGTTAATAACATTCTCATTACAAATTCCTACCTTAAGTGCTGCTTCCTTTTGGGTTTAAAATTGTCTGCATAATACATGTGTAACCTTGAAGTGATATTGCTTTCATATCATAGCTTCAGAAACATCCATTGTAGGTGAGAGAGCACATAGAAGAAATCCCATTAGTGCAGTTGAGAACATTGTGGAGAGCCTTTTGGCTGTCCTTCCAGAGAGATCTGAGGCAGATCACTACACAGCTACTTTTCAATTTCAGGACATGAATTTGAAGTGGACGTAACTCTACAAATATTTCTCCACTGATAATTGAGATGTGGATTAGTAGAGTTAACGTAGAAGGAACCTTCGTTAGTTGCTATGCCTACCCCATTTGTGGTGTGAATGTCCCCTACAAAAAAAACCAAAACCCACCGTATTTTGGTTGTCATATCATTACATCTGCATAGGCCAGAGAATGGTGTGTGAGACCCCACTGCCTTTTGGAGAAGATGTTGCAGGGAAGTTACTGGGGAGTATCAGCACCATGTGTATGTATTTTGATAGGTGTGTGTGTATATGGTTCTCTATATACCTATATGTACATATATATCAAGACTTTGTGGACTGCTTTTGGATACTTTGTGGTTTATCTGCTAAAGTAGATCTGAAGGTTATGATTAGCCAACAATTTTTTTTGGCCATATTTGGTTTTTTAGTTCTTTTTTTTTTTCTTTTTTCTCCCCTCTTTCTTTTCAACTTAAATGAGCAAATAGGATTACAGAAACACTTTAGGTAGCTGAATGTGGAGAAATAAAGGAAAACATCTGAATGATCAAGACTGAATTCAGGTTTTCACTTTGGGGATTTTGTGTTAGAGATTTTAATAGAAATCTGCTTATACTTCTATACTCATGTGTGCAGTGCCTTGCTCTCTTATTGCTGAGTGCCCCAGATTCAGTATGGGAAAGCTGAGTTCATGTCTCATTAAATGACATATGTCTGCCTGTCTCTGTGGAAGTCCCTCCTTCCACTCTTCAGTGCTATGGACCAGGCAAGACAAGCTGTGGCTTACTGGAAAACTGTGATGCAGTATTGGTACTGCCTTATAGTATCTTTAATATCAGGATTTTTTTTCTGCTGTAGTGGCAGTGATTGCTGCTCTGATGAAGGCAGGGTGTGCCTCATTCCCCCATGAATCATACATTAGTCAGACATGCTTTGCCCTGTATGAACTGTCTGTGGAAACTGCATGTATACTTGTGAAATCTAGCTTGTTCATGCTATTCTTTCTTTCATGTGATTAAAAAATTTACTTCAGATGACAGTGTTAGAATAGATCTGATCAGTCTGAATAAAGCCTCATCTTTGCAAAAGTTAATTTAAGAAACACCCTACTGGTGTGTATTTGGAGAACTGAAGGTTTTTATCAACTTCATTTTTTAGCTTGCCTTTTTTTTGTCTTGCCTATCACATTTTTAAACATAGATACAAGTTTAAGAGTCTCTATGTGTTAGGAAAATCAAGCTTACTATTTATTACGTGTACTACTGTAGGCCCTGGCAGTCCTAGCTGTTGTCCAGAGCCCCATAGTACCATTCACCGTACGACTGCTGCAAAAGGCTGGCTGTGCCTGCAAGCGTGGAGCTGGCAGACAGGTCTGAGGTGCAGGAGGGAGCAGTAGGTCCCTTCCCTGACCGATGAGCAAGTGTAATTCCTGAAGTGGAAGGAGAGTGGTGCAGTGAAGTCTTGGTACACTGGGGTTGTGAAGCATTGTGCTGGAGAATACATTGGAGACTTGCTGATATAATGCTTTAACATTAAGAGACTGGAAGCCGTACAGGTTTTTTCCTTAGTTTTTTCTTTTTCCTTTTTGGGAAGCCTAAAAGTATGATTTTTTTTTTTTTTTCTTTAAATGAGTCAGGAGACTTCTTGCTGAGTGGGCCATAGTATTTTTAGATACGCTGATTTTATGTCTGAATATGGTCTTTTTATGTAAAATGCATCTTTCATTTGATTGTTTTGCTTTCAGTCTGCTGGCTCTGTGTGTGCACTGGGCAGTCTCCCACACCACAAGCAGCTAAGCAGCCTGTTACCTGCAGCAGTTTAGCTTTTGAAATACTGAGTTTAATAATCAAACAGCTTTACTTTTTAGCTTGTTAAGGCACTTCTAGTTGTAGGTTTATGTAGCCTTCAGGCTCCAAAGTCCCTGTGTAGATGTAGCTTTATTATCTGTGTGGCACAGTTCATAATTTGCATGGGGAAGGTAGAGGGAGTGAGTCAGTATTTGCTGGTTTTCTCACTAATTTTCTTTTGGCACTGAAAGCCTCTTAAAATCATATAGATACAGTGAATAGTTTTATTTTGCATGATGGGTTATAGGAACATCAGTTTGTGCAATTGTTAAGATTATTTATTTTTTTTTAGGAACTAGAAATGTAAGAAGAAAATTAAAAATATCTTGTATCTGGTGTCTGCAAAATCAGTTGCTCATCCAGAGTTCGAGCACATACAGTGCATACTGCCGATCTTTTTGTAAGATGTGAATTCTTTCTGGTATTTACTTTTTTCCGTTGTTTACCTTACTTTGGTGGTGATGTTTTCTTTTTCAGTAAATATTTCTGTTGGTCAGTAGGAAGTCTGGATTGTTAATAGTGTATGACAGACAATAACAGGTTTGCAGCTTTAAAACACTTTGTTATTCAGAGAGAAATATACCTTCCGAGGATATGTTTCTCTTCACCCAGCAATAATGTGTGCAGTTAATGTCAGCAACAGAAATTGTGTAGGTGTTAGTGCGCACAGGAGCGAGTTGTGAACTTGCATCAGTGGCATCACTGCAAGGCCTACTGCAGCGGCGTTCCTCTTCTGGCTTTTAAGAACCAGCCTCTTACTCTGTACTTGTTGCCTGGTGTTTTGCTGTGTTACTGAAATAAATGTATGGATTCTTGAAGTTAAAATTACCTTATACTGCCTAAGGTCTTCCAGGTTTATGTCAGAATGGTGAAAGCTGTAGAGGTGTTACTACAGTGTCTCATGCTTTTGCTGATGGTGCTAATTTAGTTATTACAGCTGTCTGTGTAAAGAAAATGAGAACTTTGTCACGTCTGTGTTGAAAACTTGTGCGTAGGCCGTGTTCTTGAATGTAGTATGCATTTTGTTCTGTGTGTTCTAGAATTTGCCTGTGCTGCTGTTAACTGTCTGGCAGCAGGATAGTTTTGGTACCTTGAGTTTGTGGTTATTTCTCATGACTGCAATGTAATTTCTTTGTAACAATGAAAACGATATATCTATCCGTAGCATATTCTGGAAACTGGGTGGGTGAAGGTTTGTAGTTCTTTTCCTTTTTACTTTCCTTAGTCTTATTAAACACATTTTCGAGGCTGTTTTCCACTTCTTAAATGCAGTTTCTTTTGTTACCATTGTCATTATCAGCTGTCCTACAATAGGACATCTTGGGAAATGCTTGTGAAGAATGATGGCCAGGCCTGCCCCATGCCCAGCTGGCAGTCTGTGGGCTATAGTTAGCACTTGCAAAAACGCTTCCTCCACTGACACTTATTACATGAAAATATTTCTGTAGAAATGCCAACTACTGAGTAGCGAAGAACTACTTTGACTCTAAATTATTCTTCTAAGCACTGACAAAACGAATTATGTACTTTCTGTTCTGTGACGAAATTTTACTAGAATAAAAGCATGGATACTTGACTTGTGGTAGGGAGCATTGTTTTACCTTTTAAGAAAGAAAACCAGGAAATTTAAAAGTCAGTGGGTCTTTCTGGTATGGGAAGAGGGGTGTGTTTGTTAAGAAAGGAAGGTATTGAAGGTATCTTTGGTATTTGTTGTATTGAATAATAAACCTAACTTTTTTTTTTTGTCTCTGTAGGTATACAAAGCTCGGATATGCCGGTAATACTGAACCCCAGTTCATTATTCCTTCATGTAAGTATTTGTTACTTGTGTATGAATGCTGAAGTTACTTAGAGTTTCTGTGAGTTGCTATGTTAAAGAAAAAAAACAGTTAAAAATGAGCAGCTTGAAAAGACCTCTTAGTGATGACACAGGGTGATAGCGTGGCTCTGTTCTGTTTTGCTATGGATACTCAATTTAGAAACATACATTCATTAAAATAGTATACATGAAGTGAAATTAATTTTTTGGAAACTGAAATAAAATTAAAATATAGTAGCATGGCTATATTTACTTCTCAGAAGGCTCTTCCCCTGTTCATGGATTATCAGGTTCAGTTGGTTATAACTAGAAAAAATATTTTTCAAATGTATAGTTTAATATCTTCAGGGTGTAAGTTGTTACACTTGACAAAGATTTTTCAGTGTTCCAGCTCTGTTAATTTACTGTTTTGCAAATAGAAAAAGTGAACACTTCTCCCCACCCTGTAAAATTGCTTATTTATTTTCTCCCTGTCTTTTGAACCGCTTCTCCTGCTTGAAGCGATACGTTTCTACTCTAGAAAGTGGAACTCTTATCAGCTTTGTTTAGAAAAGCTTCACCTTCTGACCTCCTACACCATTTGGCGTTTTGTCATTATTCATCTGTGCCAAAGTAATCATATATTACATCCTGGTAAAAAGGAATAATTAGTACACCCAGTTTTCCTTGTAAATGCAACAGGAAAAGAGCTAGAACTAATACTGCTTCAGTGTAGTCACTGTGAAATAGAACTTGGTAGTTGAGGATCTGTGTTAATTTTTCTGGAAAACATGTTCCAAAAAGCGATTGTCATGGAAACTAAAGTTAATTCCCGTAATGTATTATACAAATTTTATACAAATGGGAGAATTCTTTCAATCTCTTCCAAATTATCTTTTAATATGTAGTTCTTAATTTGTTTCGGTTTCCAGATGAACTTCATTTGATTTATCTCAGTGGCATAGCAAATATACTTTGCAGTTTTGTTTTTCATACAAAAACGAGTTTTAACATTAGATTAAAAAAGTTACTGAGCCATTGGAAAAACCCTTACATTGCTCCATAAACTTCATAGCAGTCTTTAAATTAAAAATGGACAAATGATTACTAAATTTCAGATAGTTTCCGTACTTTTTCTGCATCTTCAAATTTGGTTTATTTAATTTGAAATCACTTTCTTGTTCCAAAAAAGAACAGATATGATGGCTCTTTAAACAAATTCTTGGAATAAAATGACCTGCTACATCATTAAGCAGAGAAATTTGTACAACAGGGATGCTATTGGAGCCCAAGAGAAAGGGGGTCAATGAGATTTTTGAACAGGTTTTTGGTACAGTGTTGTGTATTTAAAAAAAATGCTCTACATTCGAGGCTTCTACAGCTGAAATGGTCTTTGACTGCAGTTCTATTAATGAAAAAGACATTTTTCTCATTTGTACTGTAATACAATTTAGATAATTACACTAACTGCAAGAGTTTGCATTACTCTTCTGCCTCAAATGAAATAAAATAGCACTGGTATAATCCACACTGCAGAAATGAAAGTGGAGGATAGCAGTACCCAGTTTCAAAGTAAAATTACACAAAAAAGAAAAATAGATCTTTTCAAATCGCGTTGATGTCTTTAATTTCCTTAATATTATCCCCAGTACAAACATGGTTTGGTTTCTCCTTTGACTTCCAGGAAAGGTGGTTGCATTTTAACGATTTGATTCTTTAAAAAATGTTTTCTGTTAAACAGGTTTGAGCAGCATTCCTTCAACCTTGTTCACTTGCTGCTTATCTCACTCCTGCTCTTAACAAACTCTTATCTCTTTATGTTGTGTTCATGATTTAATTCTGAATATGCTTCTGTAGTGATGATAAATGCTTGCTTGAAAAATGAAGTAAATGAGAATATTTTAGTCCAAGGTGTGGGTTTTTTTTTGGTTTTTTTTTTTGGGGGGGGGAGTTTGAAGAAACTTGGGTTCACTGCTTTCTTCCCTTACTGCTTTTTAGATTGCAGCAGGTTGTTAATTTTGCTCAATTTTTATTCTCTTAATCCTTTTTTTCCTGCTGTATGTTAAAATAGGAGTCAACTTCTTTCCATTACCCTGTAGTTCTTTTGATCTGTCATCTATTTCAGTTTATCTGTGCTAGTTTACATGTTAATGGCCCTTTACCTTTAAAAGAAAAAAAATGTACTTGAGTAGTGGTTAAACAACTGAAATTGATTTGATGTAAGAAGTAGTCTTTTTTTCTAAAAGTTCTTATGTCTTGTGCCAAGCAAACCAAAGGCAGAACTTCTAATACACTGCTGGAGTGCTGCCCGCCTTCAGGCACTGCAGTAGCCTAGCTCTGATTTCAGCAATGTTTATTTTTCTGTTTGTGTTTTCAGGATATGATTCTTGATTCAAGTTGTTTCCTTCTCATTTCTGACTTTAAAAACCAGGACTGAACAGGCTAGCCTCAAGGTCAGAAAAATACTGAGAGCTCCCACCTTGTTTTAGTCTAGTAACAGGGTGAAACCACTTTGAGTTGAAAGCTTCTATAATCCTGTGGTGAGCAATGGAATTTTACTTGAAAGTTCTTGAAGATAACATGCATTTGGACAGAAAAACTTCCCCAAAGCGTGCAAGCTCTGTAATGATGACCTGAAAAATATTTGACAAGATTATTCTTTTGACTTGCAGCAAACACTGGCCTTGTGACATCTCCTTCCCAACAATTTTAGCTTCTACTTCCTGTCTACACCCTCCCTCCCTCCTCCCCTTTGGCCATGATATTTGGCTTCCTCCAGCCTTTTGCTTCCTCTCTGCTCTCCTGTAAGCTGCTTCAGAAGTTACAGTATGATTCAGTTTTCTTCCTGAAGAGCTCAAAATAATGTCTTCTGCTTATCCTGTTCAGCCTTTCACAACTTTCAATGTTTTAGTTTCTCTGACTGCACAGCTCTGCTTTTGTTGCTTTTTATGGGAAGAGAGACAGATGGGGAGCATCAGTAAACTAACAGTGCTTTACCCTAGCATGCTGTTGATTTCCAAATGCTGTAGCTGTGCTGCCCTGTGCCTGGTGAGCTTGAGGCTGCAGCAACTGTTTTCATAAAGTTTTTAAATTTGACAGCAAACAAATTCCTGCTGGAGGTGAGAATTAGCAGAATAATTCTGCCTTTGAAAGAGCTTTTGGATCACAGCCTTTGAATAATTGAGAACAATATTAGTGCTTCTTATATATATAAATTTCCTTGTTTGTGTGAAGAATTGTGTTTAAAAACAATTAGTAGTAAGACTTTAAAAAATAGAGCAAATGTTGCTGGCACTGTAACCTTGGTAGCTAGGAGCTGATGTAAAAGTTGAGGAAAGGGAATATCTGTGTTCCTGTGGTATCTAATCACCAATTCATCTTTCCAGTATCCTATGTTTAGCCTTAGCCAGTATTTTTTTGATATATCCTTTATTCTTTATTTTTGATGAGTAATTACCCTGGAAGGAATAAATTGCCACAATGCACGCTCTTAACTTTTGCCAGTTATTTCCTGAGGAGAAGGAGATAATCTGTCTTAAATGAAATTCTGCATCCTATTCTTAAGGATAAGAGTAGGATTTAAAGGGAGAAATTAAACATAGGCTTTATGAAAATTGTTTCAAAGTACCTAAAGGTACATCAGGTAACCGTACAAGTTTCTGTTCTTTTAAAACACTCCTTTTATTTCTGCCCAATACTCATTTTCTCTATGTCTTACATTTTTTTCCTGCTTGTTTCTTCCTGCCTTCTTTTGTATATCTTTTGTTTATTTAGTTGCTAGTCGGTCCCTTTTGTGTGCCATATCTCAGTTTCATAGTATGTCCAGAAATCAAATTGGTGCAAGTGAAGCAAAACATCCATTTATATAATGGCAACATGTTTTCTTTCTTGCTGTTTATACAGTTTATACAAATTGATTCCTTTTTTTTTTTTTTTAAACATTATTGTTATTAGCAGAGTGTGCAGAAAATCAGCACACTTTTTGAATAAAATGAAATCTGTAGGGTTACTGTGTCAGTGATTCTTTTAATGCAGTCAGGGAGATAATACACATTGAGTGTCTTAACAATTAAATCTGTATTTAGGTCTGTTGTTGTTTTACTTTATAAATCTTAGCTGTGTTTTCTTATGGTTGGAATTCAGATTACCTGTGTTTACTGTAGCTTTTCAGTGCTTGTGCCTGAAACAAAGGATGAATACAATTATGGTGTGTTACTATTTTTGAATGTTGAGGTTTTCTTTTTTTAGCGCAGGATATATGATCCCAGTATTGTCTATGTTCTCTGTTAAAGGTATTGCTATCAAAGAATCAGCAAAAGTGGTCGACCAAGCACAAAGGAGGGTTTTGAAAGGTGTTGATGATTTAGACTTCTTTATCGGGGATGAAGCAATAGAAAAACCAACTTATGCAACCAAGGTATTAAGAGAAATGTTTAAAATGATTTTCCAGTACTCTTTAGGAAGCAGTAGATACACTGTATGCAGCAGCATAAGAATACTTTTGGTTAAATTTAATCTTACTTTCTTATTAATTCTATTTTAATGGAAAATAAGGCTTGGTATTAGTTTTGTTGACCTTCAGGAGCCTGTGGGAATTTGCAAAACAGTATATGATTATCTGTTTCTTTTGAAGTGAAGGGAGGCTGGGAGAATGTTAAGCGGAAATATCACATTCTTTCATGTTCCGTGGCATCTTCTGTCAGCAGTGTCAAAGTCGGAATGCTTGGGTTAGGGGGAATTTTTGGTTTATCCCAGTTCCTCCATTCTGTTGTACTTAGAGCTTGATTTATTGTCTCTCCTGCTCAAGGTTGGAATCTGAGTTTCGAATAGGTGTCAGATTGGAACAGGGAAAACATAATGCAATGTTTCTCGCATATGTGGATCATATGCTTCTACTGGAGTTGAAAACACTGTTTTTCTTTTTTATTATATTTTTTTTTTCCCAATTTTATTTTGATATTCTTCTGCAACAGTGGCCCATCCGCCATGGTATAGTTGAAGATTGGGACTTGATGGAGAGGTTTATGGAGCAAGTAATCTTTAAGTATCTAAGAGCAGAACCTGAGGATCATTATTTTCTTTTGGTAGGTAAAATTATGTGCTACTTGTGAAATTGCATGTAACTAGTAAGTAATTTGTGCTTATTTATGTAATAATTCTTAAATATGTTTATCTTGAAAAGCAAATTAAATATATAAATTACCTGGAACTTGCCTGACCTGGCTTATCCCATCCAGGTTCTTTAATTTTCTAAAGACATCAGTGTCTGAACTGCAAGCTTTTTCCTGTTCTCTGCTTCATCACTTCTTTTTATCATTTATCCACTGAATTCAATGGTTAAGTGTACATTTTTGAAGCAAAAAAAGTACCCATGTGTTTTGACTTAACATGTAAATTGTAATTACTTTGGGTTTGCAATGTTGCCACTTGGATGATGTGTCTTGATAGTCAAATTTTGTCTTTTTTTTTTTTTTTTTCACATAAATCAGAAAGTTTGATTGTTGTGTTTGGGCAGATGAGATCTGAATCAATGTCAGTGTTATTCTGCAACGTCTGCTATTCCTCAGTATTATATTTAAAGCCTTTGAAACAGGCAGTCTGTTCTAGTACGATGTTTATAGAGCAAGTTTGGAATTAGAGGTGTTGACCATACTTGTTAAAGAAATCTAAGCAACAGTCTTCTTGAAGCAGGTCTAATTAGGTCCAGCCAAGCTTTGAATATTTCCAAGGATCCTATGATTCTATGATCAAGATGCCATAACAACTCTGGGGTGCCTTTTCCGATATTTGACCACCCTCATGTTACCTTTTTTCCTCCCAATACCTGTTTAAGATTTCCCACATTGCAGTTTGTCTCCATGTCCCCTTGTCCTATCACCTTTGTGAAGAGGCTGGCTACCTCCTCTTTTTACCTACCTAGTTTATGTAATGGAAGAGTGATACTTTTTTTTTTTCCTCAAATATTCAGTAGCACTAACCAAATTGCTCTTTCAGATGAATGACTTAAGTATGTTTGCTATTTTAATGAAAATTATAGCATGCTATCACAGCATATTGTATGTTGTTGCTACCTTTTCTCAGTTGAGTACGTTTCCACAGTTGAGCATACCAGCTTGTTTTAGTGATTGCCTTCTGAAGAAAACCAGCTTTTTTTCCTTAATGAATCAGAGAAATTTTTAAAGTAATTGTCATTCTTGAAATATGCTAAACTGTATCCTTTGATATATTTAGATTGATAGTCCTTGATTTCTTCAGGTGAAGTGAAAAGCTGTAATGAGCTAACCAACCCACAAAGGGGGCCTTCAATGTAGAATCCTAAGCAGTAATTACTATAATCTTCTTACTGCACTTCTGTTTTCCTGTTCTTGCTGAAATCATCACGTTTTTGGAATGTAATTTGCATCAATTCTGTTATTGTCAGAGGAGTTTCTAGATTGTCTTAATTGCACTATTTGCCTTTAAAAGCACCCTTTGCACATTACTATATTTACATGCTATTGTGGTATGACTCATCTTTCTTTCAAATTTAAGATTTGGTGACTTTTTTTTCACCTTTTAAAGTTGGGTGGTTTGAGTTGAATGTAATTAAAACTTTTTTTTTTTTCTCTCTTTTTCTCTCACAGACTGAGCCTCCATTAAATACTCCAGAAAACAGAGAATATACTGCTGAAATCATGTTTGAGTCTTTTAATGTTCCAGGGCTATATATTGCTGTTCAGGTAAGGACAAGGCTGTTGACAGTATTTGGCTTCAGACTAAATCTAATTTTGCTATGAAAACTGTACGAGTGGTATTTGGGATACTTTTATGTACTTCTAGTTAGCTGTTTCACCACTACATGTGTGATGTGTTGATTCTGTGATCTGTTAGCTAGGTACCATTCTTTTGTTACCTGTATAAAGAAAGCGTCTTAAGTAGTAGAGTATAATATCTGTTGCATCATAAATAAAATAAAAAACAAAACAAAACAACAACAAAAAAAAAAAAACAAAACCCAACAAGCAACCCCAACACACCACATCATAATAATGGTATTAGGCCAAGATTTGAATCCCTTTCAGTATGAAGCAGCAAAGTAGATACTTGAACATGGCTAAAAAAGCATCAGACAGGAGTCAGAAACTACATGTATGTAGCCTTTTGTGTAAGCTATTGTGCACACATATTATTAAATCAATTTCTATGCTGAAAATTGCCATGAGGGTGTCAGTCTGGGTATTTCTGGGAGGGGTATCGAGAGGTGGGATCTGTAATGCAGTGCTTTTAATAAGGTTCTTTTTGTGTGTGATCTGTTACAAGGCTGTGCTTGCCTTAGCTGCATCTTGGACGTCAAGACAAGTAGGAGAACGAACACTGACTGGCACAGTTATAGACAGTGGTGATGGTGTCACTCATGTTATTCCTGTGGTAAGTATACATTAAAACCATAGAAAAATTCAGGGGGGAACAGTTTGTCCTGTAACTTCTGAAGTTTACACCTACACAGAACGAAGTATAGCTAAGAATCTTAAGAAATGTAAGATGACTTCTAGGGGTGTGGGGTTTTGCTTATTTTGTAGTGCAGAAACTCTTGAAGAACTTCTCTGCACCCTGAGTTTGTCAGGCCATATTGTCTTTCAATTACTTAATTTTAAGAGGTGATTTGCCAAGGCTGTGCTAAGTAATCAATGAAATTGTATTGCTTTATCATATTTCCAGTTTTTTTTGCTGGTAGGAGTGAATATGATCTTTAAGATAAGAGTTTGGAAACATTTTTAATTTAGTCAAATCGTATATAAATGAAAATAATACAAAAATCTGTGAGGGCAGTATTGTTTACAGTTTTTCTCCATCTGTTGACCAGTGTTTAGTAGTATGCTGTCATGCATCAGCGATACAAACAAAAAGAAAAAAGTTCCTACCTGACTGGTTAAAAACCAACCCCTAAGGTTAATTAGTGAGTATCTCTTCCAGTATATCAAGTTACTAAATGCAAAATCTAATTAGATCAAATGATATTTTAGTAAGTAATCAACAATTCCAGCTGCAGTTTCCTAACTCTAAAGTTATTGGTTTTGCTGTAGGTATGTGTTTCCTTTTACAAAACTACATACTTGAAATGCTATCATTATTTAACAGCTGTGTATTTCAGCGGCTGGCAATATGTCTCTGCCCATCTTTCCTTGGGAAGTTAAATGCATCTGCACACACCAGGTGCATCTTTCTTTTCAAAATGAATTAGATTACATTTTTCAGGATTAAAATCTGTACAAAGCTTTATCATGTCACAGTAACTTTGATATTTTTTTTAATGATTTATTATACCAAATAGTGGCATTGGTGGTGATAGAACATTTGTTGCGATGTAGCAATTTCTTATTAATCTTGCTGAAATATAGTGGTTAAATCTTTGCTTAGATTGCTATCCAAGATGGCATATTTTTAATAAGATGTAGGAAACAACTGACATTTCAAACCTTGTGTATGTAAACTTTTTTAATTGGACTTATTTCAGATTGCTGTTTAGAACAGCTGAACTTATGATTTGTGTCTGGGTTTGTTTTAATTGAAATAAAAATAGGTATTCTGTATCACTTGAAGCATTTAGCGCCTTTGCAGAGTGACGTTTGCTTAATTTCTGGATTTTTTAAACATATTGAACAAACTGGCAGTAACATACCACTTTTACAATGAAATACGTAAGAGGAGCTAACAGGCGCTTCTTTCTGTAGCAAAGCTGCAATAGGAGTACACTTTTTTTTTGTGACATTATTTTTAAGTTAGAAAGAGCTCTTGATATGAACTAGTTGGAACTAGATGATCTTTAAGGTCCTCTCCAACCAAACCAGTCTGTGATTCTCTGGATGTAAGATGTATATAGTAAACTTTGAGCATTTAGTGTTGGTGTGATAACCTGGTTTCATCTGTTTGGACATCGCAGATCTGGCAAGGTTGAAGGCCAGTCTTGAACCCTTTTGGTTTCTATATTTAGATCAGATATTTTTAATGCTCCAAAGCTGGTCCTCATGATGTGCTTGACTTACAAGTGTAGACTGATGGATGAGTATGGGCCAGTCTCATGTTCTAAGCAGTCTCAGTTAATATGCTGAAATGATGAATTTTCTCCCTGCTTTCAGAGAATTAATTTTGGTTCATGTGGATTGTAACGTCTTACATCAGTGGCTGTGACTACAGAGCCACATTATTTATTCTAAAATAATATTTCATGATACAAGGTTATTTGACCTTTTTGGTAAGAGTAACCTCATTTTGAAGAGAAAATAAAAGCCAAGGAATAGTGAGTATAGCTGTTTGTTTGCCTTATGTACTAGTGACCTTTCTGTTCCTCTTAACCTTGTAAGAGTTAAGAACCAATACAAAGTGAAACATGTTAACGTGTAAAGTAATACTACTGAAGAACTGGATTTCTAGTAATGAAGTGAACCAATCTTAAAGGGCTTCAATCTCGACAATTGCAGGTAGTTAATAGGAGTTTAGACTCCATGTCTGTCTTTCCCTCTCCTAAGCTTTGTTGAAACGAGTTCTTGTCAGTATCTTTCTCCCAATTAATTTTATTTATAGGCTGAAGGATACGTGATTGGCAGCTGTATCAAACACATTCCAATTGCTGGGAGAGATATAACGTACTTCATCCAGCAGTTGCTGAGGGAGCGAGAAGTAGGAATTCCTCCTGAACAATCCTTGGAAACAGCTAAAGCAGTGAAGGTAATGTGAACATTGCAGACATTAAGGTTATATTAAATCAGAGCTTGATATCTATATTTAAAACACAATATTGTCTCAAAATCCTTGTCCCTCCAAGTAATGGTGCTCTGTTTCTAAGTAATACAAAAATGTCTAATATAATAACCTGAAATGCCTTAAATTTGAGGTATATGGTTGGGTTATGACCAGTTTGGCCTCGAATTTCACTCTTCACTTGTAGTCTCCTTTCTCCTCCCCTCCTTTATTGCTACTGTACTATTCAGCAGGAAATGTGCTTAGTGGGATATCTAATGTAAAAAGCTTTAATTACTTTTTATTCTTTCTGAATGTTGATATGTTCTTTTTTTGTAGTACAAAGCTATTCCGAAAGACATTCAGCTTAAATTACACTTAAACCTTGTTTCTATGGCAATACTTCAATATACTTTAGAACTCATTTCTTGCCATTGTATAAGTGCGGAGGAAAAATAGAAGAAAAGTAATTTAGCCTATGTGCTGCTTTCACTGTTGCACAGAAATGATTTTTAGTAGCAGAGCCATTATCTAGCTATATACAGTAAATGTCAGATCAGCCATTTTTAAATCCTGTTCTGTAACTGCCAGTTTAAAACTCTTGTTCCGGAAAGTTTAAATTACTACACTTTTTAAAGTTCATGCAATCTTCTCTGCTATACAAGAAGATGAGAACATGCTTCTAACTATACATTTTTAATTTTCAGGAACGCTTTAGTTATGTTTGTCCTGACTTAGTAAAAGAATTTAACAAGTATGACACAGATGGTACAAAGTGGATTAAACAGTATACTGGAATTAATGCTATATCAAAGAAAGAATTTACCATTGATGTTGGCTATGAGAGATTCCTGGGCCCAGAGATTTTCTTCCATCCTGAGGTAAGTTGTTTTGAATTGTTTGCTCTTTGGTTTAGGTGCATTTTAGATGATAGCATATAAATCATATTTGCAAACTTGTGCAGAAATGGTTATCCCAACTTATATTTCTCCTTACTTGTAAATAGCTACCAGTTTTGTTATAAGTCAGTGTGTCTTTGATTCCTGATCACTATTAATCTTTATACAAATTCAGGTTGATACCCAAACAAAGCACTATATTTGAAACTTTTAACAAATCGATTATTATCTCCATACTTTCTTCTTGCAATTTTCAATAGAATTCCCAGGTCTTACCGTGCTGTACAGTTTCCTTATCTGTCTGAAAAGTCAAGTTTCTAGATATTCTGTCATCTTGCCTTTATACCCTTAGTCTCTCTTCCAGTGAAAAATTTAAGGAGAATAAAGCCTTCTCCTGCTGCCCTAGTCCCTCTATGTTCTCGTATTACAGCCTTTTTTTCATGTTACACTATTTTGCTCGTTAGCAAAAGCTATCTGAAAAAATAGCTGGCAAAACAGATACTTTAGGTTTACTATTCTTTCTAAACCTTTTATAAATGGCAGCTAAATTAGCCAACTATTTCCATTATTAGTTTTCATGACATCTCTGTTATAATAGGATGACTCTTCCCTTTTTCTCCTTACTCCTTTTCCTTTGCAATATGTGGTCCTACATACTGACTTGTCTTGATTGTATTCTTAATTGTAGTTTGCTAATCCTGACTTCACGCAACCAATCTCAGAAGTAGTAGATGAAGTTATTCAGAATTGTCCCATTGATGTTAGACGTCCCCTGTATAAGGTCAGTAGCTATAATGATTTTTTTGTACTCATTTTAGAACGACTGTACTTTATATTTAAAAATGTATTTTAAATTCTAGTTAAAAAACTGCAATAAACAAAACTAACAATTTTTTCTAGGAATTAGTCTAGAAATTAGATATGCAGAAGGCTTCATGTTGTCCACCTACGCTTTTTCAAAATGTGATGTTTCCTTGCTCAAACTCTTACTTAAATAAGGGAAACAAAACTGAGCGAAAGAAGTGAGATGTACTAAGATACAAATGGATTTTAAAGCACAGCCAATTTTAGTGTGACACACTCCTTGTGAATTTATATTCTGTTGTGCTTAAGTGTTAGATAATTTAAAACTTAAAAGCATACCTGTTAACCGTAGTTTTAAAAACTGTATTTAGATATCGAGAATTTAAGAACTGGATAAAGTTGGAGGCTTATGTTTTCAGAAGTGGTTAATACTTTTTGTTACTCAAAACAGAATATTGTCCTCTCCGGAGGCTCAACCATGTTCAGGGACTTTGGTCGTCGTTTACAGCGAGACTTGAAAAGAACTGTTGATGCCAGACTGAAACTTAGTGAAGAACTTAGTGGTGGCAGACTGAAGGTTAGTTCTTGAAGCTAATGTTGGTTGGGTTTTTTTGATTTTTTTTTTTTTTTGTTGTTGTTGTTGGTTTGTTTTGTTTTGTTTTTTTGTTTGGTTTTTTAAACATCTTTCTCTCCCTTGTCTCCCGGGAAAATGAGACAATAACATAATGCAAAGATGTCCCTGTTTGCTAAAATGTCTATTTTCATTTAAAGTTATTACAGAAGGTTTTCAGAGATTCATATATTCTAGACTGCTATTGGAAGGTATTTCTGTAAACCTTTAATTGTAGAAAGCTACAGTACTTATTTCCTCAGGTATGAGGTTGTGCTGCTTGACCCTTACAGCTGAACTGAATCAGTCACACGTAATGAAGGGATGGGTCTTACGCCTGTTACATAAAACCAATTGCTCACTCCCCAGCTTTTTTGTGTGCTTGGAGACAACAGGTATAAATTGAAACAAAAGAGGTGCAGCTTGGGTAAAAGGGAAAAAAAAAATCATTGTGGGGATGATCAGGCATTGAAACATGCTGGCCAGAGAGTTCAGTCTCCATCCTTGGAGGCTTTTGAGATTCAACTGGGATAGAGCTCTGAATAACTTCCTCTGACCTTGCAGCTGATCCTGCTTTGAGCAGGAGGCTGAACTAGACATATATTGAGGTCCCTTCCACCCTAAATTATTGTGTGAAATGACTTCTGTTTTCACTAAACTGCACGATCCTTAATTTGTTCTTTCTGCTTCTGATCTCTGATCTTACACATTTTTTCTGTTGACTCTGCATACATAAAAGATATTCAGAGATTATTTTGTAGTTTGGGTTTTTTGTTTTTTTTTAGTCCTTTTTTTTAAGGCAAAGTTTAAATGATTTTTCTTATTTTTTTTTAGTAGTCTAGCTAGATAAGCCAAACGATCCTTAAAACCCTCACTGTAGCTTCCCAATATACCATACAGACAACTCTGAAATTTCAGTTACGTACAATTCGTTGGTTCAAGTCACGTAGGTTATTCTCAGTTCTTCTAACTGTACTTTTACCACTTAGTAGTAAGGAAGCAGGATATAAATAAGGAAAACTGTAGTGATTTTTCCTTCTTGAGAGTACTAGGCATTGCAGGTAATCGCTGTCTTGAATTTTGTAGGTGTACTACAAATGATTTTTAGATACTGTTTCAAATCACTCAGGTTTTGGCAGGTTTTAATGGAACAAACAAATTACTACTTTCTGAAACTTACATACACTGCCATTTTTGATAAGCACAAGTAAAGAATTAAGGTTTGTGTGGATACGGAGGGGAAGGGGTTAACTTCTCACTGAAGTAGTTTTGTAGTTTTGACAAGCATGATTTTGACAGTATTAGTCCTAGGTAAACTTTCAATCTGCAACTAAAATAATGATATAAGCCTTAAAAATTAGCTTTCTAAAGTAGGTTTTTTTGGAAAAGGCTAAGTAGTATGGATCTGTTCTTACAACTGCATAAATACAGTCCCTCAAGAAATTCAGCAGAAAATAGAATGTGGATAATTGGAAAGGAACACTGTAGTGGAGCTCTTGGGAAAAAAACGGTGTGAATGCAAGGATCTCTTAATGCCTGATGAAGTTAATAAATGGCAGTTTATAAGCAAAAGCTATTTCTTAGTCTAGGTTGTGCAAGAGAAAATCTAATGCTATAACTGTAGTTTACTTACTCAGCATTTAAGGAAATACTAATTTGGGAAAAGTAAACGAGGAATGTACACCTGTTTTAAAGGTGGAGTTTTTACCAGCAAAATTTACTTTGTTCCTTTATTTGGTTTTATTTTTTTTTTCTTCTTTTATAGCCTAAGCCCATTGATGTACAAGTCATCACGCACCATATGCAAAGATACGCTGTTTGGTTTGGAGGGTCAATGCTGGCTTCCACAGTAAGTTATAAAACAGAGGAAACGCTTTTGAAGTTCTCATCTCTTTCACTTTATATGAAACGTAGCCGGGGGATTCTGATAGGTCCCAGGTAGCAAACATGCCCTTCCTGCACCCTTTGAAGTTTTTGCATTAAACAGTAAAGATTTGAAAGAGCATGTGAAAAGCTGAATTACATCTTTGTGTGATTTGTTAAATAGTGTATTCTAGTTTTGTGGTGAAGTACAGTGGTTGTGTTGGTGTTTAGCCACGCATGTTGTAATATTAATTTCAGGACCAAGTTATCTCTGGGACGTTTTGTTTTCCTCTGTAAATGTTAGTATTGTTAAATAAGGTGGATGTACCATTGATTAATTTTTTTTCTGCTTTCCTTTACAGCCTGAATTCTACCAAGTATGCCATACCAAAAAAGATTATGAAGAGATTGGTCCTAGCATCTGTCGTCACAACCCTGTGTTTGGAGTTATGTCTTAAAACTGACTTCAGAGGGGTCAGGGGTAGGGAGGTGGTGAGGAGGAGGAGTCTTTCTGATTACTTGTTTGTCTGATGGCTGGTATTAAAATAACAAACATGACTTGACAATAAGAAAAAGACCAAACACAATTAAGCAGGATTATTTTAATAAGTGTCTCAATATGCGGATGTAGTGGAAAGCCAAAATGATCATGTTTTTTCTTTAGATTGATTATTTGAACCTGTGCGTAACAAAAAAGAAAGTGGATTTTAGTTCTTTTTGTGCCCTGATATTTTGTATATTAATGAACTATCCAAGATTTGATGGGATTTGATGGTGTGTAGATAGTCAGCTCTCTAATGCTTCCATTGTACCCTTTCATGGGTGCAATGCAGGAGCTTGTTTATATTTCATACTTTTTTATACTTTGAGGAAAAATATGAATTAAACTGTAATATTTGAGGAAAAAAATTTACCAGTGACCAACTTGAAAGTAAATTAAAAAAAAAAAAAAACAAACAGAAAAGTCATGACTCATGCAACTAGTTCTTGCAAATCATGACCAGTCTAAATCCTGGGTTCCATACAGTGCAAGTGCTTTTGGAACTAAGAAGCTAGTATCTTGGATTAACCGATGCCTGCTAGTGCTTTCTGATTACTTGGTGCATTTTCATACTATTTCTTGCTTTAAAAAAAAAAAAAAAGAAAGTAAAGACAAGACTTTTGGACCAGTATTGCAGTTCTGTAGTGTCATTTCTAATTAAACCAAATAATCAGGTTATCAAAATTGGTGTATTTAAAGCCTAACACCATTCCAATAAAGGCACAAAATTTCTTTTTATGTTTGTGTCAGACTTATTAATCTCATTACTTGGGAAGTGAGGAGCATGGGTTCCTACATATCCTCTATGGCTTTTGAAGAGTAAGATTGGTCTGTAAAGTAGAGATCATTATGTGCATTGTGTAAACGGAAGTGTGAGCATTTTGGAACTGCAGTTTATATGTTCATATAGATAGCACTTGCCTATATAAACCTAACATCTCCTCCATTGTTAGGTCTGTTCATCTACTTTGTTCTGTAACTTTTTTCCCCACGACTTTCTTTTAAGGGGGGGTATACAGGTGACAGCGCTGCATTCTAAATCTGTGTGGTTTTTCTGCAAGAAAATACCATGTAGATAAAAATAAAGTGAAAAATACCTCCTTCTCATTCTTTCTAGGAAGAACTCTCCATTTACTGAATGGAATTACTTACAATTTCTGATAATATTTGATGAAAGAAAACTCTTCATAGGCTTCTGAATTCACAATGTGGTTAACGTTTTTATGCAGGAGACCACAAGGGGGGGATCTCTTGCCTTCTTCTGAGTTGCAAAGATGCCTCAGACCTCAGATCTTTTTTGGAGAAGCTTATCACTTGCTAGAGCTTCTAGTTGCTTCAAAGCATGATAAATGAGACTCCAAAATGAGGGTAAATACAGTTAAGTATTGCATGATAAAATTTCACATGCTGGAATTGAATACAACCTTGGTGCAAACAAGAAAATGTTAAGTAATTGCATTACAGAACTGTATTAACATCTCCCTATCAGTGATACTATTTTTTTAGAGTTTTTCAAATAGTGACTTCTTGAGTTATAATTGCTGACTGATTCATGTGATAAGAAAGACTGATAGGCAAATGTCTGTAAAATAAAGTTAATTTAAGCTGTGCCTTTCCAACAGTCATCTGGTTCTGCAATTCTGCAACTGTATCATGCTCTAGAGACTGCGTTTCTTGATACACTGCAGTGGCCAGAAAATAATGCATGGTGGTGGTTTTCTCCTCTAGAAAGTAAAGTTTGAAAACTTGAAAAACTCTTGATTCCTGACATGTAAGTATATAGTGTAGTGAGGAAATGTAAAGTAAAGGAGTGAATATGAGTTCCTGTCACACACAGGTACATGTAGATCTCTAGGATGATGTGCAAAGATGCATAGAATATGTAGGTATTGAAGATAGGGTCTTAGCTGAGAGACAGGCCTGGTTGTGTTTTAGCAGCAGGCTGTACTGCAGGTAGCCCTAGGTGTAATTGGAGCTCTGCTTTATAGAGCTTTTGGAACCCACCCCCCCCAATTCCTTTTACTGTTGTGTTCAGGCCACTGTTGCTGCATCTTGGATGATCTGAGGCAGTCAGTGAAGATCCACTACCAGAATTCAGTTGAGGTACAAGGAGCCCAAGGGGTGGGAGCTGGGGTGCAGGAGCCGAGTAAGTGGTCACAGGTGCTTTGGGGAAGCTCCAAGACATGTCTGAGACTCTAAGCAAAGCTGGTTTCATACAGGTTCTTTAAAGGCTGTAGGTTGTTGAGATGGCCTGTTCTTGGCTGCTGGGTGGATCTGCTCTGCAAGCAGGTGTCTGGATTGGAGAGTGGTGGCATACAAATGTTCAGAATTTGGCTGTTCTTGATTAGGTGGACAGTGAGGGACAGGCCATTCTCATGTACTGTTTCAGCAGTATGGCTGTTGCAGGAGAGGGCCGCTTCAGGCATGTGTTAGGTTGGTGTTTCATAGAAATACACACTGCCCAGTGGTGGGGAGCCATCTAGAGCTCTATTGTGTATCTGGTACAACCATAGTTGGATTAGCAAAAATAGTTGGTATGTCAAGGAAACAAGCCAGCTCATTTATGAGCTCTTTGATGGAAGAGTTGACATTTGAGTGTGAAAGCTGTCAGGCTGAGAACAGGAGTTTCTGGCAAGTGTAAGATAAGCTGTATTTAGCATTCCAGCTGTATTGAGTGGGAAAAGCGCAGGTACTGGGGTTTTCATCATAAATTTGCTATGATAAGCAGTAAGGCCAGGAGGTTTTTCCCTAGGTTGAGGGATCCATGATGCCAAAACTGAATAAAAGTAGCTAAGCAGCAGAGGATAGCTGTAGGCACCTTTTGCACTGAGCTCTTGATCCTGCCTGCAGAACTAGAAATCTCATGCTCCAAAGAAAAGCTGTGTTGTTTCAGTGTTGCCTCATTGGTGGACCTCGGCTCCTGGGAAAGGTGACATATGTGCCTGAAGTGCTGCTGAGCAGCCCATGTGTCGTCTGACTTGCTCAGGTGAGACGCGTACAGTTTGTCTAGCTATCTGCACATTAATTTCAAAGTCAGGGATGTAGGAGCTTTAGTCCTTTGTTATGCTTGTTTGTTCCAATATGTGTTAGTCTTCCCCAGGCTCCAAGAATGTTGCTTTAAGCTTGTGTTAGTCATTTGTGTAGAAGAGAAAGGAGGGCGAAGAACCTATGCCCTTACACCAGTTGCTTTCTTGTAGCTGTAACCTAAAATGATGTTTTTTTGTAGAATAAGTGGGAGGGTTGTTGCTAGGTGTTTTCTATTTTTTAAATTTTTTTTTCTTTTTTATGGAGTAGAGATCATTTCAGAGGGAGGTGTACAGCCATGGCTGATCTCTGGTGTGTTAGAGAAGTAGAAAACTCTGTGAGAGCTCCCACTAATGACCTGGACTGAATGGAGGTCATAAATACTTGGACACACCAGGTACAATGTGCAGTTACAGTCTTGTGCACTGGGAGTAACTCTTTGGGAATGGTTCACATATGTGTTTTGCACCTGTAACACCGGATCTGAACCTGAGCTGCTGTTACTGGTAAGGTGGTAGAGGGACTGAGCAGCCTGTGGGTAGGTCATCCCAGGGATCATGTAGATCAGACACTGTACAGTGTGAATAAAAAGCAATTTCAGAAAAACCTCTGCTCACCTTAAACTTGTACTTCCTATTGCTCTGTGCTGGTCTGGGTTTAACGCATCTAAAAGGTTAATTGCAAAGGCAAGTGCTTAAAGAAAAAAGCAAATCACAGCTTTGCTTTTCCTAAGGTTCCTTTTTAGGAGATAACATAGAGGCAGCAATTGCAATTTGCACCCATGTATAAATTTAGCTATTTTTCTCTTCCTTTCTTGGTTTCAAAATCCTGCTCTGTTAGTAACTAACATCCCAAGAATACACAAAATTCTTTACCTAATTCTCTTTGTTTCTATGATACAACCTGAGCAGGGAATGGATGCAGCATGCATCTCTAACTGCTGAACTGGGTGAAGCCAGAGCAGAGCTGTGCCTGTGGGATGTGGTGAATGACAGCTGGAACCATCCAAACATGCATGTCAAAACATGAGTTGGCAAAAAAGCTATGTTGGTGTTTCTTAATCATCAAAGGTACCACAAAGTCGTATGCTTATTGGATAATGGAGGACTTAATAGGACTGATGTTACAAAGCAGCATTTGGCCTGTTAGGAGCCTGACTGATGGTCCCTTGGGAAGGCTGCCCTAAAGGGCAGAGGCATCCAGGAAGGCTGGATGTTCTTCAAAAAGGGAATATTAAAGGTGCAGGAGGAGGCTATCCCTGTGTGCTGAAAGATGAGCCTCCAGGGAAGACAAGTGGCCTGACTAAACAGAGAGCTTGGGCTGGAACAAAGGAAAAGATTTATGACCTTTGGAAAAAGGGGCAGGCAATTCGGGAGGATGTTGTGAGGTTATGCAGAGATGAAATTAGAAGGACCAAAGCCCAACTAGAGCTTGATCTGGCTACTGCCAGAAAGACAATTAAAAATGTTTCTCTAAATACATAAGCAACAGAAGGAGGGCTAGGGAGAATCTCCATCCTTCTTTGGATGTGGGGGAAACGTAGCAACAAAGGATGAGGAAAAGGCTCAGGTACTTAAACCCATCTTTGCCTCAGTTTTTAGTAGTAAGGCCAGTTGTTATCTGGGTATGCTACCCCATGAGCCGAAACACAGGGCTGGGGAGCAGAATGAAGCACCCGTAATTCAAAAGGAAATGGTCTGTGACATGCTGCACCATTTATTCTCACCCACGTCTATGGGGCCAGAGGGGATTCACCCAAGAGTAGCAAGGGAGCTGACAGCTTGTGGCTTGGATGGGTGAGGTGAGTAGCTTGAGAGAGGGTGTACTGTTTGCTGGCTAAAAACGTGTCTGGATGGCTAGGCCCAAAGCATGGTCGTGAATGGAGTTAAATCCAGTTGGCAGCCCGTCACAAGAGGTATTCCAAGAGGACTCAGTGTTAGGGCCAGTTCTGTTTAATATCTTAACAACTTGACGAGGAGATTGGGTGCACATTCTGCTGGAGAGACCCAGAGAATACAACAGTGACGAGTTCGTAGAAACTGAAGATGTAGTGCTTGACTGTCATGGTTTAAACTCGGTCAGCCACACAGCCGCTCGCTCACTCCCTTGCCTTCCTCCCCCCTGCTCCTGGAGAGATGGGGGGGAGGATCAAAAGAATGTAACTCCCATAGGTTAAGAACAGTCCAGTAACTAAGGTATAACACAAACCCACTGCTGCTGCCACCAATAATAATAATGATAATGGAAATAACAAGGGAAGAGAATACAACTGCTCACCACCTGCCGACCGATACCCAGCCCGACCTGAGCAGTAATCTGGGCCTTCTGGGTAACTCCCCCAGTTTATATACTGGGCATGGTGTGCTGTGGTATGGAATACCTCTTTGGCTAGTTTGGGTCAGGTGTCCTGTCTCTGCTTCCTCCTGGCTTCTCCTCCTCCCTGGCAGAGCGTGAGACTCAGAAAGTTCTTGATTAGAGTAAACATAACTGAGCAGCAATTAAAAACATTGCTGTTATCAGTGCTGTTCCCAGGCTGAAAGTCAAAACACAGCTACTAAGAAGGAGAAAAATTACTGCTACTGCTGAACCCAGGACATTGATACAGAGACTGATGGTTGAGAAAATAAAAGGGGTTTTGTTTGTTGCTCTTTCAATGAATTAAAGAAAGGTCAGGAAAGGTGTATTGTTTGAAAGTCAGACCAGCACAGAAGAAG